TTTTTTTTTTTTATTTTTTTGTTATCATTTTTTCGATAAAAAAATTTCTAAGAATTTTTAAATGTCGGTTAACTTCATTTTTATTTTATTTTGTTAAAAAATTATTTTAAAAATATTAAATAAAAAAATTTTATGTAGAAAATTTTAAAAATTACATGTGGAATTTTTAAAAAATAGTTTTTTAGTTGTAATTTTCATTAAAGTAAAGTTAACCATTTAAAAAATTATGAAAATGAAGTTAGCCGACATCTAAAAAATTTTTAGAAATTTTTTATTGAAAAAATTTGAATTAAACAATTAAAAAAAAAATTATCACATGTCAAAAACTTTACAAACTATAAGTGCAATTTTTTAGAAATATTTTTTTAGTTGTAATTTAATAAATTAAGCAAAATAAATATAAAAAAAAAAAACAAAAATTTCGACTTTATTATTATTACTGAAGTTGACAGTTTAAAAAATTTTTTTTTTTATTATTTTAGAGTGATTAAATTGTTGAAAAAATTTAATTAAAAAATTAAACTTGTAAAATTAGAAAATAAAATAGTAGTGAAAATTTTTAAATGCTTTTTTTTTATTGTGAAAAAATTAAAAAAAAATTGACAGGTGTCAGCTAACTTCACTATTATTTTATTTATTAATTTTTGCTTGCACTTTTTTTCAAATTTTTTGATGATTTCGATGAAAAATTTGGTAAATTATTGTTTAATTCAATAAAATTGAGCAATAATTATAATTAAAAATATTTTTTTAATGTATTTTCAATTTTTTTAGACAAAAGTTTGCAGTCAGTAAAAAATTTTGAATATTTAGTTTAAAATCTTCCACCAGAGGGCTTTTCATTTTTAGTTCTCATAGCCGCCGCAAAAGGCGCGAAAGTTCATGTTGAAGGGCTACCCCCTCCATAACTTTAATTTCTCTTGAGATTTTATTTAAGCAAGAGGTAGAGATTAATGTTTCTTTTGTTTATAATAATAATAATTGTTATTTTATGATGATTATCAAATTGACATTCATTAACTAATTGACAATATTTTTTGTTACAGATCTGTTATAATTAAATACGTGCCTTATATTTCGAAATATATTTATTTCTCTTTTCAAAACGATAACATTTCATTTATTATCAGTAAAAAATGAGTGATTTACCGTACAGGGTTGATTATCCCTCGACTACTTTTAAAAAACGTGAAAAAATGTGCCATTATTCTGATTGTAAGAAATGTATTCTTAAAGATTCGTTGAGAATCTCGATAGTTTCAAAGGTAATTAGTTTTTTTTTTTTAGGTTAAATAAAAACCGGCTTTTTAAATAATTTAATTTTTAATAAAAATTAATTTAGCAGATATTGAATAATATTAAAAATTTTTTTTAACAATTAAATTATGGCAAAAAATAATTCACATGTAGAAATTTTGAGAAATTATAAATGTAATATAATTTTTCAGAAAAAATTTATTTATTTAATTAATTAACTTTAACATAATAAGATAAAAGCCCCAATTATTAACACTATTAATAAGTAATCAATTTTATTAAAGTTTATTAATAATAATTTCCATAAATGATTAATTACTTTTAAAAATATAAAAATTAATTTATTTAATCAGAAGAGTTCAAACTAATTAAAATTTAATAAAAATTTATGAAAATAAAGTTAGCCGACATTTCAAACTTTTTAGAAATTTTTTATTGAAAAAATTTCAATTAAAAAATTAAAAAAAAAATTTCATATGTAAAAAACTTAAAAAGCTATAAGTGCAATTTTTTAAAAATATCTTTTTAGTTGTAATTTAATAAATAAAAAAAATCAAAAATTTTTAGGCGTCTGCTAACTTCAGTGTCATAAAAATTTATATGATAGTTATTCTTATTACAGATTAAATATATTAAAAAATAATTTAGGCTGTCAATATTTAGACCCTTGTAAATTGGAGCTTTTACTTTAATTATACCTTAATTTTTTTTTTAATTTTAATAGTTTGAAAATTGTCTTACAGGATGCGTGTCTTGATGAAGGACAGTCACTATTTTTTCACCCGGAATGTTTTTTCAAAACAGTCGAAAATCCTGAAGTTGGAGATTTTGACAATTTTGAAAATCTTAAATGGGAAGATCAAAAGTTTCTGCAGGAATTTATCGGTAAGATATTTATCTAATAAATAAATTTATCAGTGTAGTCCTTACCGTTGATATTTTTCAGCTAAACTAGATCCTGATAAAAATGCTGAATCAGTAACTTATAGAAAAAAAGAATTTAGCCTCGGATATTCAACATCAAATCACGGCAAATGTTTAAGCTGTGAAAAAAGAATCGAAAAAAATACCGTAAAAATTTCTCTAAGTTCCGAAAGTTGGAAACACGAAAAAATCTATCATTCTTATCACTGGGAGTGCTTTTGCCATTTGCCAGAGTTTAACTTGTTTGAAAATATCAATGAGATTTCTGGTTACAACTCTTTGAAGCCCAAAGACCAGCAAACTCTGGCAAGACCAGTAAATATGAAAACCGGGAATCTTCATTCATCAGAAATGGCTGATCAAAGCGATAAATTATTTGCTGTAATAAATAGTTTGCAGCTGTTGAAGCGCATGGATATAATAGACCTTCTGAAATTCAATAATCAGTTAATTATTAATACGTGGAATGTAACTGAATTGAAAAATATTTTAGCCGACAGACTGATCTTCGGAGCTCTGGATCCTTGTCCTGAATGCTCGGGCAAGTTAAACTTTAAGTCCGGCTTGGGCTATCAATGCACTAGCCAGTTCAGTGAGTGGTGCAAATGCAGTGCCGTTTTTTTAGACCCTCCGAGATCCAAGTTTGTAGTTCCTGATAATATAAAAAAGAAGCATAATTTTTTAAAAACCTTCGAGCCTTGTGTTCAACGCAGACTTATAAAAGTATCAGCGCCTTCTGATATTGTCAATGTTGATGGTTTCGATAAAAAATCCAAACGTCCACTAAGAGGAATGCATTTTGTCATCGATGATAATTTAAAAGACAACAAGGAACATTTGGTGGATGATATCACGAAATTAGGCGGGCTTGTTGTTGATGAGGTTCATGAAAATGTGGCAGCGGTCATCTCTGATAAGTCAAATTTCAAAAAAAACTCTCAGGTAATTTTATTTTTATTAATATATATACTTAAAAAAATAAGGAAAATTTATATAAAATGAGTCTTGAAAAAAAAGGAGACTTGGTGCATTTTAAATGATTCATTTCCTCAACTAAAATAGTTCATTTATTATGATAAATTTTCAAAGTATTTATCTTGTGAACTATTGACATTTTTAAAGATATAAGCTCATCCCGATATTACACTCATCGAGACCTTTCATTTGAGTACCCACATCAATTTTTCATATATTTTATATATTTATATATATAAATATATGAAAAATATATCAAAAATGCATGTGGGTACTTAAATTAAAGGTCTTGATGAGAGTAACATCAGGATGAGCTTATATCTATAAAATATACATTATATATATATATATATATATGTATATATGAAAAATATATCGAAAATGCATGTGGGTATTCAAATGAAAGCTCTTGATGAGTATAACATTGGGATGAGCTTATATCTTTAAAAATGTCAATATTTCACAAGATACAAGGTCATTTCTTGAATTAGTGCGTTTTAAATGTTTCATTTCCTTTTCTAAAATAGTTCGATTATGATAACTTGTCGAAGTATAAATAGATTAGAATTTCGCGATAAACAAAAATTGTTTATTTATTTATTTTGTTTTGTACATGTCAATGTGGTTTGTCAAAAATTAATTTATATAATTAAGAGACTAAGAAAAATTTTAAACGGGTATATCTTTATCGTAAATTGGGTTTGATATTTTTTCAGCGATAGTCATTTATGATTTAAATAATTTAAAGAGTAAGGAAAATTTTCCGACGAGCATATTATTATTTTTAAAGGAATTTTTGTAGTTTAATTTGGTACCATCAGAAAGGTTTTAATAAGAATTAGTGCCTTTTGGTTTAATATATTTATTAGTAGTCAATTTTTTATTTAAAGTTTTTCGAGGAGTTTTTAATAGATTTTTCCATTAAATAATTAGTAATTGATCCTGTGATAGCACTATTATTTTTAAAATTTATTTAAAAAGTACCCAGACTATGTATAGTGTCATAAATATAAAAAAATCATCAAGTCTAAATTTTCTCATTTACAATCCTTAATTTTGAGCAGTCACGTAGTAAGACTTGAAATTTTTAATGAATTAATTTTTATATTCACTTAAAAAGATCCTTAAAACCATAATTAAAAAATTATTTTTTTCGACCAAATACTTATCTAATTTTTCTACTTGAAAAAATTTTAAGAAAGCTTTTAATTAAAAAATTCCCTAAACTATGTACAATTTTTCAGGTAATAAAAATGGCTAAAGAATATGATATCCAAGTAGTCTCAATAGACTTTATAAAAGAAGCTAAAAACTTTATCGACACACCAGTTTCCTTGATAGTCGACAAAAATTTTTCCTCTTGGGGAGGTTCTCCAAGTAAGCGAATAGCCACAACAATTGCTAAATCCGTAAAATTTGAAGACTTGGAGGACAACATGTCTTCAGAAATAAAAAAACAATTAGAGAATTTCATCGTCGACGAATGTAACAACGAAAAGTTTTCAATTACTCTAGCCAACACCGAGATAGGGTCTAACTTAAACAACTATTTCAAAATCCAGGTGTTAAAATCTCCGGGTATAAATCAACCAAAAGCTTATTTAGTCCAAAGTTGGGGCAGAATTGGAACCAATATCGGCGGATCTAACCTGCAAGAATTATCCTTACAAGAGTGTCATGATTTATTCCAACAACTCTACTGGGCAAAAACGGGAAACTGTTGGAAGAACAGAAATTTTAACTTCGTTAAGAAGCCTGGAAAAATGTACCCAATTGAAACAGTCACAGACAAACCAGTGGAGGTGCAGTTTAGTATTGGCAGTGAAAAAAATCCCGTAACTCGTCTTCTGATGTTGATTTTTAACGTGGAAAAAATGTCTAAGCTTTTGAGAGAGTGCAAAATTGACACTAGCAAGATGCCTTTAGGGATGTTGGAGAGTAAAACGATGGACAAGGCTTTTGTAATCTTGGGAGAGTTGCAGACTTTTATAAAAAATTCAGATCGTCTGAGAATCATTGAAAGATCCAATAGATTTTATGCGATAATTCCTCAATCATTTGGACTGACCAGTCCACCGATTTTGGACACTCTAGAAAAAATTAGGAGCATGTGGGACATGACTGATTCACTTAAGCAAATTGCAATTGCCTATGAAATGACCAAAAACTCTGTAATAGATGATCATCTCCTAAATCTTGGAGTCCATATTGCAGTTTTGGATGCTAATGATAAAAATTACACTGTGATACAAACTTATTTAAAAAACACGCATGGAAGTACTCACAATTACCGGTTAAAAATTGAAGATGTCTTCAAGGTGAAAAGATCTGATGAAGATAGTTCATTTGCTAAGTACTCAAATTATAAAAACAGAAGACTCTTGTGGCATGGTTCTCTTTCAACCAATTTTGCTGGAATTTTGTCCCAAGGATTGCGCATTGCGCCTCCAGAGGCTCCTCCAAACGGTTACATGTTTGGCAAGGGTGTATATTTTGCTGACATTGTCACCAAGTCGGCGAATTACTGCAGATTGTCTTACAACAATCCTACTGGACTTCTGCTACTCTGCGAAGTCGCTCTTGGGGAAATGTATGAGAAGATTGACGCTGAGTATATTACCCAGCTCCCGAAAGGAAAGGACTCTGTTTGGGGCTTGGGGTCCACTTATCCTGATCCTGGAGATGTTCATGTTTGCCAGGATGGTGTCATCGTGCCGTACGGTAAGCCTGTTAGCAATGATACTTCTGGTTTTAAGCTTCATTATAATGAGTTTGTTGTTTATAATGTTGGGCAGATTAGAATTAGGTATATTGTTCGAGTTAGGCTTGATCGTTATTCAGTCAGGTGATATTTAATTTTTTATGATACTAGGTTACTGATTAGTATTTATTGAAAAGTATTTTCATTTTAGTCAATTTATTATAAGTATTTAGGCATGATTGAGAGATATTAAGTATGGATAATTAGTAATAACGTATCTTGTGAATATCTATTGAAGTTTTTGAAGATATAAGGTCATTTTGATGTTAGACTGAGCGAGAGCTTTCATTTGAGTACCCACATCAATTTTTCATATATTTTATATATTTATATATATTATATGTATATATATATATGTATATATGAAAAATATATCCAAAGTGCAAGTGGGTACTCAAATGAAAGGTCTAGATGAGTGTAACATCAAAATGAGTTTATGTCTTGAAAAATGTCAATAATTAAGAAATTACATTGTATCTTGTGAACTATTGACATTTTTAAAGATATAAGCTTATTTTGATGTTAAACTTATTGAGAGCTTCCATTTGAGTACCCACATCAATTTTTCATATATTTTATATATTTATATATATATGTATATATGAAGAATATATCAAAAATGCATGTGGGTACTCAAATGAAAGGTCTCGATGAGTGTAACATAAGGATGAGCTTATTTCTTTAAAAATGCTATCAGTGGACAAAATACAATGTCATTTCTTTATTATTGACATTTTTAAAGATATAAGCTCATTTTGATGTTACACTTATCGAGACCTTCCATTTGAGTAGCCACATCAATTTTTCATATATTTTATATATTTATATATATTATATATATATCAAAAATTGATGTGGGTACTCAAATGAAAGCTCTTGATGAGTGTAATATAGAGATGAGCTTATTTCTTTAAAAACGTCAATAGTTAAAAAAGTAGAGTGCAATTTAGCAAATTTCATTGTTTAAAAAAGCGAAATTTTATTTATTTATAGTTCACAAGTTACAGCAGTCACTTAGTGACTGCAAGGTTGTTAGTAATGAATTTGAAAAATTAAAAATTCATTATTATTAAGGCCAAAAAAAAAATCATAACAATAATTATTGTTATTCCTTAAGATTAAAAATTGGCAATAATAATAAATTTAAAAGATACCTGTCAATTTTTAAAATTTTTCTAACAAAGTATTGCAATAATTAATAGTATTAAATAGCTTTAAAAAATCTGCCAATTATTTATTATAAATTAATTTAATTATCACGATTTTAAATCGTATTGACTGATATTAAATAATAAGAAATTATTGATACAGCTAGGATTTTTCTATTTAAAAATAAAATTTAATAATTAATTAATTAATTAAATAAAGGAAAAAAATAAAAACTTAAATATTTTTTATGAAATTTGTTACAATTTATATTAAAAAGAAGAATATGCTGGTAATACTTGGTATTAATTTTATATAAAAAATAAATGAAATTACTATAAATAAAAATAATTGTTATTTATAATTATTTATTTACATATAATTATATTACAGCTTGTTTTTATTTATACAGTAGGATAAAACAGTTGATTAAGTATGAAGGTGATGACTAGATTTATAAAACAAATTATATTAACCGAAAACAATTAATCAGTCATTGTAATTAATTAAAACATTTTTGATTAACCCGTTTAATTCTGACGATGAGGGATAAAAAAATTTTCATGAGTGTTTTAAAGGAATGTCGGATATAAAAAATTATATTGACATATTAAATAGAGAAAATAATTAAGTAAGCTGCCGTAATAACTGTTAGCGACTAGTTTAAATATACAATTTACAGTAATTATTTAAAATAAACTGAGATTATCCCTCACGTTGAATATTTAATATTTAATACTGAAATACCTATTATGTACAATCTCTGGAGTTTGATTAAAAAATAAAAAAAATAATTAGCTAATTTGATTTCTTCAAAAGTAAAAATATAAAATCGAATCTTTTGATTGTGCATAACTGAGAAGGCAGTAAATTATTTGAACGATTTTAAATATTTTAAAATAAAACTAGTAAAAAAAAACAGCGCGCTGGCACTGACAGGACGGTGTAGCCTAAGCGATCTCGTTACAATCGAGAAATTTAATAACTAATTTAGATTGATCGATTTTTACCAGTATCGGTATTTTTTTATACAGTCATTACCCAAGTCGACAACCACTAAATAGTTGTTCGGTAACACAGCGATCCCTGTTGGACGTCTTAATTTTGAGCTGTGCGAATCTATTTCAGTGAGTATTGCTCCACCGCCGAGTTTCATAACTTGGATTATGCTCCGGCCTTTGTCGCTACGTGAAGCCACTATTTTTCCATCTTGATCAACGGCTATTCCTCCGTACTTGCCTTTGCCTATTTATAATCAAAAGTTTTCAAGGTTTCATATCATTCTCACCGATAGTTAATTTGTCATGATAAGTATTTAGAAATGCTCTATCTCTAGATACATAATTAAGAAATGACCCTGTATCTTGTGAACTATTGACATTTTTAAAGATATAAGCTCATCCCGATGTAACTCTCATCAAGAGCTTTCATTTGAGTACCCACATGCATTTTTGATATATTTTTCATACCATACATATATATATATATATATAAATATATGAAATGAAAAATTGATGTAGGTACTCAAATGAAAGGTCTTGATGAGTGTAATGTCAGGGTGAGCTTATATCTTTAAAAATGTCAATATTTAAGAAAATACAGTGCAATTTAACAAAATTCATTATTTTATAAAAAAAAAATTACCTTTGCCTTCAGCATTAATTTCCTCTGAAAAATCTCCCTTAGCTGAAAAAACTTGTATCCTAGAATCAGCGACTAAAATTTCTCCAGCAGGCCCGACAGTAACGGAGCTAATTAGCTTGAGCATGCTCTTTTTCCCAACTTGGAAGAGGACTTTCCCGTCAGAATCGAAGACAAAAACACAGCTCTGGCCATTGTCTGCAACAAGTATGTGCCCATAGCTGTGATCTACCGCGACGTCAATCGGCTCCTGGATAAAAAACACTCTTTTAGATAAAATTGACCCGGAAGCGCTGGCAAAAATTAAACAAGTGGGCGTATATTATAAAAAAAAAAAAAAGTGTAACGTGCGAACCTGGAACGCATTGTGAGTAAATGACCGAATGGTGTCGCCCAGTGAGCTCATTTCCGTAATTGTACGCGTTCTCCAATTTACTACAACTAGTCCTTGCTCTGAAATGGCTATTCCAGTGCAGCTGCGGCCCTCCAAGCCTTCATTGGTCACGTGTCTTTGGAATTCCAAATTACTGTCCAGCACCTGAGAAAAAAATATTAATACAATAGCTGTTATGATAATAATAATAATAATTGTCATTATTATTATTTTTTTTTTATTCCCAATTTTTTAATTAAAATTATTAATAATAAAATTTTAAATTTTCATTTTTATACTAGCTTTATATTATTATTATAATTATTATTACTTCCAATTTTTTAATAATAATAATACTTATTATTATTATTATTATAATTACTATTAAATATTATTGTACCTTAATCCGAGAATTGCCAGAGTCGACGATATAAATAAATCCGTCATCGTCAACGGCAACAGCTACTGGTTGAAGAAATTCATCTTTCCCGTGACCTTTGTGCCCGTAAACTTTAATTGGCTCATTGTGGGCAGTCGCGTTAAAGAACATCGGGTAGTCTTTGATAGGTCGCTCAAAAACCGAGAGCTTCAAAGCATACCTTGATTCACAAGGCGGTCGAAATCTCACTTCATAAGTTCCGTTGTCCAGATCCTCCACCTCTGTTTCTATTGTTTGATTATCCGAACTGTCTGCTAGGGTCAGCTCGACGCTTATCGGATCTCCTCCTACATTTCGTGGGTGTCCATGGTAGTCAACAGTCTCTACTATCACAGTTGTTTCTAATTTAGCTATGGCTTCATCTCTTAGACTTGCTCTGCACAGTCCTAAAAATTTTCAATAATAATTATTTTAAATTATAATAATCTATATTATTAAGAAAATGACCTTGTATCTCGTGAACTATTGACATTTTTTAAGATATAAGCTCATCCTGATGTTACACTCATCGAGACCTTTCATTTGAGTACCCACATCAATTTTTCATATATTTTATATATTTATATATATTATATATATGTATATATGAAAAATATATGAAAAATGCATGTGGGTACTCAAATGAAAGCTCTTGGTGAGTGTAACATCAGGATGAGCTTATATCTTTAAAAATGTCAATATTTAAGAAAGTACAGCTCAATTTAACAAAAGTCATTATTTAATAAGCAAAATTTTATTTATTAATAATTTGTTTTCTAAAAAATTTCTTAAAAATAATTTTTTGTCAGATTTATATTTTTGTATGACAATAATAATAATAAACATACCTGGTAACGTTGTGCTAGACCTAACTCTTCCAAGTGTATCCAAAGCTTTTTCCAATTCCTCAACCGCATTGTTATGACTAAATTCAGCGGTAATAAATGCATTTTCACGCGGCTCGCTAAGTGCGACAGCCGCATCCAATTGATCAGTAAGGCTCCCAATTCTTTGTGTTATATTCCTCACTTCGACCTAAACAATTGTTTTTATCAAGTAAACAAAATTTAATTTACACTAAAAAAAAAAAAAAACTTACTTGATACTGCAAGCCTTCACACTCCTGCTGAACTTTATTTTTCTCCGCTTCAATAAGCGCAAGTTGTTCCTCGAGCACCCGCTTTTTGTCTCTGGCAGCTGCTGCGACCGCTGTTTGGAGCTCGTCACGTCTGCGTTCAACCTTGGCTATAATTTCAGTAAATTCCGCGTCTACGACATTTAGACACCTATCCATAGCAGTTTCCAGTCGCCTTAGCTCAGTACTAACCGACTCTTGGGCTTGTGTCAGCTATATAAAATAAAAATTAATTTTATTAAATAACAAAATTAATTTTAATTTTATTAATTAATAAAATAAATCTTAATTTTTATAATTAATTTTAATTTAAATTTTAATAATTAATAAAATAAATTTTTTCAAAATAAAAACAAACCTTAGAAATACACTCGTTAGCTTTGTAAAGCAAAATTTCAGACATTCTCTTAATAGCAATGCTAAAAGGTATGATTGTGTGCTCAGTGCACCCTGGAGAAGTCTCTGCATGGTTTCCTCCAGTGCAAACCGTGCAGAAAACAGTATCACAAGTCTCGCAGAACAGCAGCTCCTGATTTATGTGAACAGAACACTTGGGAATAACTTCTCGTCGCTGGCGCGACATTAAATCCAGCAGTTGGTTCACCAGGAAGCTGGGAGGCAGTGCTGGTACTCCTCCTCGAGGAATTGTTATCAGTTCTCGGCAGATTGGACACCGGAATGCTCCCGCTTCTCGGGTCTGAGAGGCCGCGATCCTCGTTAGGCAGTGCAAGCATACCTAAAAATTAACCAGGGTAATTAAAGTTAAATTATTTATTATTCAACATACATTAATATTAAATTGTTAGAGGAAATATAAATTCTCACCGTGTGGGAACATGGCAAAAGTTTCGGCGTGTGCTCGCTCCCGTCGTAAACACACAGGCAAGTTCCACAGGTCAAGAAACTTTCGTTAAAGTCCTCGTAGTTTATGCTCACAGTCTCCACGAGCATCGAACTCATGCTGACCATTCTCTCCCCCAACCTGGTTCTATAAAAATTAATTTTTTTTTTATTATTAACAATTGTTTTTATAATGATAATTTATTTTTAAATAAAAAAAAATTTTTTTAAACAATTTTAGTTAAATTAAAAATAAGTTATGATTTTTGACAATTATAAAAATATTTATAATTTTATTAATTAACTAAAAAAATATACTTGATAATTTTTTTTTTTTAATTTAATAATAAAAAAAATTTTTAATAATTCAAAATAATTGTCCAAATTTTTTTTAATAAAATTAATAACAAATATTTATTTTTATTTGAACAAATTTTTAATTTTATTTAATAAATAAAATTTGCTCCAAAAAATTATTTTTTTTAATTTCTAAATGTCAATTTATTTGTTAAAAAAATTCTTAAAATTATAAAATATCTTTTAATTTATTTTTTAAAGTTTAAAAATGATGTCAAAATTTTTAATAATTTTTAATAAATATCACTTGTTAAAAACTTGAAAAACTATAAGTGCAATTTTTTAAAAATATCTTTTTAGTTGTAATTTAATAAAAAAAAAAAAAAAAAAAAACAAAAAAAAAAAAAA